CTCTATTTTTTATGTAATTACCATATTCATGACTTATTAAAATGGGGAAAAGGGGGCAGAGGGAGTTAATATAATAAAGAGAAATTCTTGCAATGCAAGGGAAAGTAAGTATATATTGTACTCCTGATCCCTGGTCCCTGTTCCTTTTGCCAGAGAAACTCACTCTGAACAGCTGCCCAGTGGTCTGTGGTAGAGACCTTCCTTTCCTACCTGCACAGTTAATGCTCTTTGCTCTTTTCACCAAACTATATGTATCTTGCTGATCATTCATCCAACAACTTCTGGTAATTTTGTCTCAAGAAACTTTTGCTTCATGAAGGTAAGTACAACTGTAGTTTCTTCATTTCTTCAATGCTCAATTTTGGAATCACTGATCCAGGGTACATAGGATGAGTTTTAGATTCTAAATTGTAAGGACAGATTGTGTTCAGACCCAGATCAACTTTGAAAATAAAGTATATTTTATATAAAGTTTATATTCAGATTTGAAAAGCTCTTTTCCCATTTCAGATTGTCACACAGTTGAATATATTAAGCTTGGGACCAGGCACAATGTCAGGGTGAACATATGTGAGCGATTCGCACCCCTAAAGGAAAAATGCACTTTTCATGGCCTTGGGCAAAGCAGGGATTCACATGGCTGCAGTGTGCTTTTATAAGTCACTCTGTGGAGACCATGACTGCATCTTGGGGTTGCTATTGGATCCAAATAATGTTAATTTTGTCCTTATTTGCATTCTATTCAGTTTTATCAAAATAAATGTTTGTTAGTGATTTTTAGGATGGTCGGAAAGATTGTGGCAATATAGCTATGATTTATGAAAATGGGGGAAAGCTCCTTTTAAATTACCTGAATCTTTCTTTGAGCTAAAAAAAGAAAAATAAAATTCATGAAGTAGTGAAGTGGGGCTTGATAGTTGAGCTGTAGCCGCCAGGTGCCTGGCCTGGCTCTGACAGAGTTTGCCATGGGATCACAATGAGCCTGGATACACAGAGCATGGAAAGTCCCTGATTCTTGTCATCACAGTTTGGCTTTAGCCCTCTCCCCTCAAAGATGGAGGCTTCTGGCATTTCTGATATTGTTCTCTATTCTTGTCCCTCCTTAGGGAGAGAACGCCAATGTATTTTTGCTAATATTTTCTAGAGTTGAATTTGGGAACATCACAGGACAAGCTCCTCATGCAAGGTCTGTGGGAAGAAAGGAACCCTCTTTATCAATCTAATTATAGCTCAAATACCCCCTGCACCCACCTGTTTTTCCCTTCGTGGTGGTCACAAGACGTGGAAAGGACAGTAGTTTAGAAGTTCTAGGTGGGAGTCCTTTGTCCTTATGCTTTTCTGGGGTCTCATGGTGATCAAGATCCTTAACTTCTTTGAGCCTCAGTTTCCTCATCTTCAAATGGGGCCCATAGTACCTACTCCAGAAATGGTATCTGAAACGTCTTGAGAGCCAGTTTAGCTTGGCTGTCAGCCAATCAGACAGATAACATACGCATCTGGTAAGGTTGTCCCTGACACTTACCTGCTGAGTATCAACCAGGACTATCTTACGGAGTTGCTAGAAGGGTAAATTAGGATCGTGTATGTGAACATGCTCTGAAAACTGCAAGGGCATATGCACATCTGTGTTAACGATGCCAAATTCATGAATTGGGCAGGACAGTTGAGAAGTGCTTTGGGCTGTGGGACCAAAAGAATCTTTAATGAGAATGAATAATTATTGCCCCACAGTTTCAATTTATTTAGAAATCAGTTTCTATCAAGCTAAATATATGCTTATTATAAAACCCAGCAATTCCACTCCTAGATATTTACCCAAGAGAAATGAAAACATTTGCTCACACAAAGGCTTGTATGTGAATATTTACTGTAGTTTTATTCATAATAGCTAAAAACTAGCAGCAACTTACATGTCCATCACTTGGTGAGCAGATGAGCACAGTGTGGTGCATCCCTCACTGTGCATAAACACAACATGGTGTATCCATACAGTGGAATACTATTTAGCAATACAAAAGAATGGAGGACAGATGGACAGCACAACATGGATGAATCTCCAGAGCATTCTGCCGAGTGAAAGAAGATAGACACAAAACATTGCATACCATGTGATTTCATTTATATGAAATTCTATAAAAGACAAAAGTTTAGTGATGGAAAGAAGATCACTGGTGGCCAGGGGTCAGGGATGGGAAGAAGGGATTGACTCTAAGAGGCATGAGGGAACTTTCTGAAGAGATACAAATTCCCTATAGCTTGATCGTGGTGGTGGTTACATGACTATATATATTTGTCAAAACTCATAGAATTGTGTATTGAAAACTATTTAGTTTTATTGTAAGTAAATTATGCTTCAATAAAAAGCTGATTAAAAAGTTGAAGTAGGTAAAAATAGTTTGCTTGTGAAAAAATAGAAAACACCAAACTTGCTAAGAAGTCCTCCATACACATCCTGTTGTTTCTTTGCTGTTGTTCATTTATGCTGAACACTTGTCTGGAATAGCTTCCTCCTGGTCCTCCCTGGGGCTCCCACCTCGTCTCTACCTCACCTGGCTAACTCCTTCCTACCCTTGAAGATTCAGTTTGGAATTCACCTTCTCTAGGAGGCTTTCCTTGATTGATTTTTCCTCACTCCTGCACATTAGGGCATCTTTATCATTGCATTTACCAGATGACGCTATAATTAGCTCTTTAAGATTTTGTCTTCCATAAAAGATGGTAATCTTTTAGAGATAAGGCACCATATTTTACACACATTTTACCCCAGATGCCCACCACATTGCTGATGGTCAGTGAGTGTTTGATAATGAATGAATGGGAGTGCCTCATGGAATTGTGGTGAGGCAGAGTGAGATATTAAAAAGAATGGAAAAGAAAGGAGTCTAGTAGAATCCTAATCTCTCAGTGGTTGGAGTGACTTTGGACAAGTTGTTTAATATGTTAGCCTTAGTTTTCTCTGATAGAAAGTGAGGGAAATAGTCCTATGCACTGGATAGGATTGCTGTGAGACATGAATAAAAGGATATATGTGAAAGTACTCTACAGAGTAACACAGTTTGCACACAAACATCATTGAAACAGTGTCATACCTCAGCTCGAGGATATAGTAAGGCAAACTAAACCAAATAGGTAAAGTCTTTTCACCCTCAACTGTTTACATGGAGCCTCAGTGTTACACTGACATGTTTACCTGACTCCTTGTGGCATCTAGTTAGAACTTCCTCTGTTTGTGAGAGACATCTATAGACTTGTCAAATCCATTCACTCTTGTGTTATTTTGCATGGAAGCAATTGCCAGCCAGTCTGAAAAATTTTTGAAGACATGGCTCCTGTCTTATTTATCTTTGGGTGCCCTAAGTTCTTAATAGAAAGCATTGCACCCAGAAATGTTAAAATGACAAACCAAGTTGAGCTTAACACAGAAATATAGAGAAATGTTATCTATTTTTTTTTCTTTTTAAAGAAGGCTACATTTCAGAGTACCCGGGTGGCTCCGTCAGTTAAGCATCTGCCTTAGGCTCAGGTCATGATCCCAGGGTCCTGGGATCGAATCCTGCATTGGGCTCCCTATTCGGCTGGGAGCCTACTTCTCCCTCTGCTTGTGCTCTCTCTCTGTCAAATAAATAAAGACATCCCTATTAAAAAAAATAAAGAAGGCTACATTTCAAAATAAAATTGTAATTGCTTCTCAGTTTTAGAGTCTGCTCAAATAATTGACCACAGAAAATTTCCAAATTTAAGCTAATAAAATGTTCTGGATCCTTGGGGGTCTTCTGATGTCTTTGGAACTTTGTAAGACTAAAGAATTCAACTGTATCTAAGATCCATTTTCCACAAGTCCTAAAATCTGAACTATAGCATGTTATCAGTGTGGTATTCTTTATAGCATTTCATAGACATTTTCATTTTAAAAAATAATATTTTACCTTGATTATAGAAAGAAGGGGACAATGTCTTATTTTTAGGTAAGAGAATAAGCACTAGGCTCTTGATTCATCTAATTGGCTAGATTTGTCATTATTTTTAATTTTTACTAACCTTATTGATATTGCTTAAAACAAAATGGGATAAAACCTAATTAGGTGTATAAATTTTGAGGTACATTAAGAACTCATCAAAATAATATTATGGATAATATGACTGTTTGCAGACACAGGATAAAAAATAAATGAAATTGAGAAGAAAATGTTAGAGATACTGAAATATTTTACTGGTATGTTATGTAAATATTTAAATTTATAAGATAGAATTATAATAGAAAACAAAAAGCCTATATTATAGTCATTAATAATAACTGTGTTTCTACTTCAAGGTGATTTAAACTTATGTTCTAATCTTAGTAAGCAATTGAAAATCATTTGCTGCCTTGTTGCTTTAACCTTTCAAATATGTCAAGGACCACTAACTTCTTGCAGCATTTATAGATATTTATCCAAATGTGTTTTTGGTTAGGATGTGAAAATATTTGGGGAATAAATCCAATACTTGTGCTTATTTACTTTACATAAATCGCATTTTCCCATGAGTGACGGTGTAAATGGGAGTAAGTGGAAAGAAAGAGGAACTTGAATATAAACCAAATGTTTGTTTATGGGCTTTATTTAGAAATCCACATTAGTGACTCTCGTAGTTGGGATATTAACCCAATAACTCCTTTTTTTTGTTGATTTTTATTTTCATTTACCATTATATATTATGAGGCAATTCTCTTTGGAGTACCCAAAGAGAGATACTACATTTTTACCAAATGGGTTCTTTTCAATATTCTACTATAGCAGTATTTGCATTTAGGAACACTACTTTATTTCAGTATAGCTTTTTTTTTACACAGGTATTTTTCTGTTTACACTCTACCCCCACCCCTCCAAAAAAAAAAAAAAAGCATATAACCTCTGAGGTCAGAGTTTTATATGCCTTCAAGATGGTTTGGCATCCTTACTAGGTTATATGCCATAGCAAAAATGTTTCCCAGCCATTCATCTTTAATTACATTTAAATTTACATTAAAATTTAAAAGGATTAAAAGCACTTTAAAAGATGGTGTGTCTATTCACTAAACAGCATGTACTAATTTATAACTTTATTAAAATAACTGTGGGTAGTCTATGTCTCTTGCCTCACGCATAATAAAGAACTTCTCTTTTTGAAAGTAATTGCTGTAAAATATTGCTTGAGGGATTAAAATGCTAGTGTGATTGGGAGGTAGTATCTTTGCTCTTGGGCAGACTGTTTTGAACGTCTCAGGTTCAAACATGAAACTGGGTTAAGGTAGTTGAGGTCAGGGAATGATAGAGTGGTTAGAAGGGATCCTTAGATAATGAAGTCCTTGAGAACAGGAATAGGGTCTTCTCTGTCTTTTGTAAAATCCTAAGGGCCTGGTGCAGTACCATTCACATGGGAGGAAAGGACAGGGTTGCTACCAGAACAGCCAAGAGACAAAAAAAAAAAACGAGCTTGATCTTAGAAAATGCTGAGTTCCTCTCAAGGTTTTCTTCTTAAGCTGAGCTGGTGTCTGTTACTTCTTCTCTTCATAAAAAAGAAAGAACATACTTATCTTAAAGAAAGCTAAAATGTTTGTCATTAAGCATGACAGTGATTTGGGCCCTCATTCAAATAGACCTCTTCCTGTGATTTTGGTCCTATGGGGCTAGGTCAGAAGGATGTGGTTATAACACAAATTGTGATTTCATTTTGTTCTTCTCCTACTCATAAACCTCCACTGTTCCCCCCTTTCCCACAGTGACAATAGGAAGAAGTCCAAATACTTCAGTGTAGGTGGCAGGTGGAGGCCTTCTGGAATTTGGCTCCAAGCTAAGCATAACTTTTACCATCTTCCAACTTGAACTTCAGTGTGGCTCAGCCATTCTTCTATTTGGTCAAGAGATATTCTAGGCATTTCAGATGGGAAAGAGAAGAAAAAACTAAGACTGGAAGTGGGTGAGGCCTGGGGACTGCTGACAGAGATTAGCATCCAGATCACTAAGTTCAGGGGGACACAGAGAGTGGTGATGCTGCCCACCCTGACACTTTCTCCAGGATGCCTTTCCAAGGTAAGGGAACAGTGCTTGTCCAGGGGACTCTGTTCAGACAATGTGTCATTTCTTAATTCCAGTCTGTCATTTTACTTATGGATCAGGACATATTCCGGGAGCTGATGTATTAGATTCTGGAAGAAGGAAACAATCCCAAAAGACAAGAAGGAATTAGGTGAGAAACTCAGGACCTGGACTTGAGTCTTTGGGGAAATTACCATGAAAACCGGGGGCTGGGGACTATGTGGTCAGACTGGCCTCAGCAGGTGAGGGATGAGGTGGGGGTGGTTAGGAAGATAGCAGCTCACCTTGGTACCTAGGACTTTCATCACCCCTGGCCTAGAGACAGCAGATAAATGCATCATACCATTCCAGTTATTCTCTGGCATACTGCAAGGGCCCTGGGTAGGGCAGAGCCTATAGGGAATGGCTTTTAATTTCGACAGCTGGACAGTGCAGGTTCTTTCAGGGATTGACATCCACCTGCTCTGGATCCTATTGGCATTATAACAGGCCTCATTCTGATATTTGGATAGCCGTATATTGCATGTGATTAATTATTTCATAACTTCCAATTAATTTATGTTACTTCAGCCTAAGAAATGTCTTACATTTATTTTTTTAATTTTCTTTAGGTCTTACCCAGCTATCAAGCACTTCTTGAATGAATAATAAATTTTTGGTATTCCGTCTACCACCTAAATCAAGGATGAGACCAAACAATAAACCCAATTTCATTTAAGTTAGTTTTAAGTTTTTAATGGACATAAAATCAATCTATTGGTTTCCTTAAGCTCTTTCCCCATGCCCACTGCCCTGCCCCCCTGCCCCCAGCAGTGGAATACAAAACTACAGGGACTCTGTATCGCTTAGGCTGTGGATTATGAGTGCTGGGAAGGCAAATAAGTGCCTTATTATTCTGATTATTTTGGAAAAAAATGCATTTTTCACTAGAAAGACTAGAACTGGAAAGCCAAAGATTTTTGGTGCAAAACTGTGAAGGGACTTCTGGATGGATGCATGCTCCAAGGGAGTTCTAAGTTAAGAAATTCAGGCTACTTGGAAGGAAGCAGTCAGTTTGCTTTGTAAAATTAGTTATTAGGGCTATGTAAGTGAGTGAAATATACTAATCTGAATCTAGATTTGTGCATTTATATAGATCTTACCCTCAACACATAAATTATTTCAGTAAATGATTTTTAAGTCTTTATTGTTCTTTCATTTATTGAATAAACTTATTGAACCCTGGCTTTATGCCAGCTGGGTGCACATACTATTGGTATAGAAATGACTAATACATAGTTGCTGGTATCAGGGGCTTACAACCCTCACAAGCATCATATGATTCGCTGCAGGGAATGCAAAGATGAGTCCTGAAGCAACTGTTGCATGGATTTTAAAAAAAGTATATTCATACAATAGAATATTATTTGGCAATAAAAAGGAATGAAATATTGATGGGTGTTAAAATATGGATGAACCCCAAAAACATTAGGATAAGTGGAAAAAGCCAGTCACAAAGGACTGCATTTTGTATGATTCCATTTATAGAAAATGTCCAGAATATGCAAATCCATAGAAATAGAAAGTAGATTAGTAGATTAGTGGCAGTGGTGGGACATGTGGATGGGGTGTGTCTGCTAATGCTATGGTGTCTGTCTTGGGGGTGATGGGATGTTCTAAAATTTATTGTGGTGATAGTTGCATACCTTTGTGAATATACTAAAAACTACCAAATGGTACACTTTAAATGGGTGAATTGTGTGTTAAGTGAATTTAATCTCAATAAAGCTAGTAACAACTAAGGAGAGGGAGAGAATGAGTGAATAATGGAAGGAGTAGATAGATCTTTCATATAATTTGCCCATGAGGGAAGTAGAGAAATGGGAAGGTGGTAAAGGAATATGTTTTATTTTTATATTGATTATCTAATTTACACAATAGTTTCAAGTACACATTCTCATTTCATCCTTACGACATTGCTGTGAATATATTATACAGATAAAGAGACTGAAGCTTGGAGAGCTTAAGTGACTTGCCAAAGAATGTACAGCTTAATAAGAAGCAGAAGGGGTAATTAATTAAACTCATTTTTTTTTTTAGGAAAGCAGAGCACAAGTTGAAGGATTGATTAAGAAAAGAGGGACAATGCCTACTGAGATGGGAGAGTAGGAACAAAGACAAGATGAAGATACAGATACTGAGAATTCTGATTCCAGAAGCTCTTCTTGTCCAAATTACATTTTTAGCATGGTTTACTTTTATGCTTTTGTAGGGTAATGTATTAATATATTAATTTTTTTTGGCTAATGTATTTGTAGACTAGTTAAGTATTTACATACTAAATTCCTTGAGGACAGGGAAATGTCTATATCTTTCAAATCCTTTCCAGTACATGTGGGGCCTTGATTATCCATTTATTTGCCTGTGTTGGACAACTGTATTCTGAAGAAAATCAGAGCTCATTGGCTACCAACCAGTAGAAGTATGGTGGTCATGGATTTGGACATGTGTTTTTCTTAGTCTTAATTTTGTAAGAGAATATCAATTGTCTTGTCAATATGGATTGCCCTGCTTTGAATTGACAACATGGACTACACATTCACTCCCAAGTTTTTGATAGAGAATCTATCCTTTAACTCTTTGTTTTTTAATTCTCATCAAATCATTCTCTTTCCCCTCCATTGTACCCCTCTGTCTGTCTACACATCAAATCATTCAGCAAAACCTATTGATTCTGTGCAAATTCATTCCCTTCTTTTTTTCTTCTGTGAATTAGGCCAGGCCACCATCATCTTTGCCCAGGTCTTTCCTTTCACCTGGTCTCACATCAAGTCTCTCTCTTCTCTACTCTGTGAATGCAAGACCTGTATTCTTTATATGAACATTCTATCATATGCCTCTTGCCAGGTCCTCCTGCCTAGAAAAATTATCATCACAAAGAGCTATCTTTTAATGTACATGTAAAAAACTCATTCAACAAATGTTTGAGGGACAACTGTTCGCCACACACATTCTTCCATTGACCATAGAACAAATTCTAGCTCTACCATGACCCACAGGGCCCTGCATGATATGGTCTTTGCCTTTTTCCCAGACTTCATCTCATGTTTTGTTTTGCCCTTTCTGTACACTCCAGACAAATGATCTTCCTTCAGTTCCTCGGAAAAGTTTTCCTGCCTTAGGGCTTTTGGAAGGAGTACTCTTGTCATCACTCTTCTTAGTGGATAGCCCCTTAGCATAATCCTTCAGTTCTCAGTTTAAATATCCCCAAATCCAAAAGAGGTTTCTGTCCCCCTCATTCTTTAGTTAGCTGGGAATGATAGAAAGCTCAAAATAATAGCAGTAGCCTAAGCAAGATAGAAGTTTCTTTCTCTGTCATATAAAATTCTAGGTAATTGTGCTCCATGGGTTAGGAACCCAGACTTCTGTCCTGAAGTTCCTTTTCAACTCTACCTCATGAAAAGATGGTGTCTTCCATCTGCATTTGAGTGACCAAGAAGGAGTCATGGGGAAGATAAAGACATGCCTCCCCTAATAAGTAACATGGTCATACCTATCTACAGAGAAGTTGAAAATGAGGTCTCTTTTTTTGTTGCTGTTTGTTTTTACGTAGTCATGTTCCATCAGTATTAAATGGTTCCATTACTGAAAGAGAGAAAGAGGATATGGGGGAAAGGAACAATGTCCCCATATGTTGTACTTGTGGTAGAAATGGACTCTTGTCTATTATTATATCGTATGGCATTTTCTTTATGATGACCCACAGAATAACTTTTATTGTTAGTAAATTTGTGCTTTTCCTGAGCAACTGGTTTGTATTTCTGTTTTGTGCCTGATTATGTTTCACTCTTTGCTTTCTTTGCCAGGCAGTTTACAGCTAAATTTATAGTCCTCTCTAGCAACTGCACAAACCTTATGACATGTATTTTCTTCTATAATATTAGCAATGGTATTATTTTACTACACCTGCATTTTCTTCATTCATTTATTTTTATTTTTTCAATGTATTTTTATAGGTCTCCTCAAATTCTTTTGGTAGTAAAGTTGGAAACAAATAAATGCAGTTATGAATAGATAAATACCCTGTGTTTAATGAGGACTATGAAAGTATCTATATCATAGAGTTGTTGAGAGAATCAAGAGTTAATGTAAACAAAACATTTAGACCAGTGTCTGGTGTACTATAAGAACTACATAAATGTTTGCTCAGTATTCTTATTATAATTAAATCTTTTCTGAAGTGACCACCAAGTAAGCCTCCTTGAAGAGACAGTCTTAGGAACACTCTCAAATTAGGTTAAATGAAGAGGGAAAGGATAAAGTTATATATTTAAGGGTCACTCATCAACAATTATTCTATGTCTACAGATTATAATCTGTGTAGCAGCTAGCAAATGCATTCTGCTGTGTCAGATGATATGCTAAAAATCTTAGAGATGGTCTCTAAGACAGTTCATATGTCGGATAGGTTGGCATCTTGTAGACACAAATATATGGATGACTAATTAGATTCAATTACTAGAAGGACTCTCTCTCTACCTTTCTCCCAGTTAGGGATAGAAAGTTTCCATCAGATAGATCTGGGTTTGAATCTTAGATCTGCAACTAACCAAACTCTGTGATAGGTTAAATCTCAGTTTTTGCCTCAGTAGACAGGAACAACAATACCTACTGCATAGGGGCATAAGGATTACATGAAATAATGCATGTAAATAGCTTTGCATGGTACCTGGTCAGAACATGCATATAATAGTTATTCCTGTTACCATCTGTTTCATGCAAATCTTTTGAACTGAAGAATTACTACCTTTCACTTCTTGGATTTATATTGAGTATAGACAAACTTGATTTTTTTTTTCTTTAAATATTTGAAAACCCTGCCCTACAATCTGGTAAGTCTACAAATGTTTAAATTTTTACTTTTCCATCATGAAGTTGTATGAAATAGTGGCTTCTCAGTATGGTTCAAGGCTAATCAATGGTTCACATGGGTTCTTGGGCTCCTGTTGCATTAATGTTTCTATTAACATAGCATTTCTGCTTAAGTTTCTGGTATGGATTAATAAACTATCAATGGTGTTTCAATGACGCCTGTTTTTCATTAATTAGTAGCTCTTCAGAAACTCATCAAAAACTTCCCATTCATTTTGTGGAATTCAGATGGTTGGGGATGAATGGTCTGAGAGGCTCTTTACTCTGCCAAAGTAGCTCATGAAAAATGTGGTCAATTTAATTCAACACAGCAAACATACATTGAATTCAGAACATGGGAAAAGCCTTGCACTACATACTGTGACAGTATCAGGAGATTTCCCCTGTGGTGGCCATCTGTTGTTTGCTACCCAGCACCCATTCTCCTTCTGTTGGGGAGTGGGTGAAAGTCACCCACTCCCAGCCATATGCTTTGGGTGGGATTGGCCCTTTACCCAAGGGTAGAGGTGAGCCTTGCTTGGCTTAAGGTAGTCAGCACATCCCATCCCCAAGACCATAGTTTTGGATTCAGAGTGGGCATATAACACATGGTTTTAAACAGACTTGTTTTCTGGGGCTTCTGGAAAAATGAAGCTTGCTCTCTTTTTCCCATGGGAACTTCTGGAAGAGACACTCCCTCTTTCCTTAGGCAGTATAAATAAGGATATGAGGTCTGGGAGAACCTGGAGCTGTGAATGGGCAAAACACCACACAGATTCTTAAGATGAAAGGGGGCAATGCCAGGAGCCAGGCACTATCTGAGGCCAGCCCTTCTACTGGTCATGTGAGCCAATACATTTTTTTTTTAAGTAGGCTCCACACCTAGCATGGAGCCCAACACCGGGCTTGAACTCATGACCCTGAGGTCAAGACCGGAGCTGAGATCAAGAGTCAGACACTTAAACAACTGGGCCACCCAGGTGCCCCACCAGTACATTTCCTTAAGCCAATTGGAAATTTGCTTAAGGCGGTTGGGGTTTTCTATCACTTGGAAGTATGAGAATCCATATGGCTTTGATGTCAGCAGTTAGAAAAAAGATTCATGATAGCTGCAACCTACGTGTTACAATTCAACCTACGTGTTACAATTGTTCTAGAATATGTGTAAGAAAACTTGATACAGGGACTAAGATTATTATGGAAACAAAATTAACCAATGGCAAGTTTTTATTGAAATGCCTTGAGAGAAGGGATCATATCTGTTTGGTCTTCTAGAACCATTCTTGGCACATAATTAAACTCTCAGTCTATGTTGATTGAATGTGTGAGGTTAATAGTATGCTAGATTCTGTGTTTCCCACATAAAGGAGACCTTCTCTTTGTCATTGGGACATTCCTGATTAGAGGCTTTACCAGCCATAAACTTTCTTTTGAATATACATTTATATATGTTTTAATTAATAAAGTTTATTTATTTAAATTTAATTTTTTTTTTTTAGAGATCCTAGAATTAAAATTTGTTTTTTAGGGCAGCTTAAGTTCACAGCAAAACTGAAGGGAAAGTATAGAGAATTCTCATATACTCACACCCCCTGCACATGGATAATTTCTTCCACTATCAACATCCCATTCATAGTGGCACATTTGTTATAATTAATGAACTTACATTGACACATTATCACTCAAACCCATAATTTACATTGGGGTTCACTCTTGGTGTTGTACATTCTATGGGTTTTGACAAATGTTTAATGATACGTATCTGCCATTATAACATTGTACGGAATAGTTTCATTGCCCTAAAAATCCACTGTGCTCTGCCCATTCATTTCTCTCTCTCCCCAGCTCCTAGCAGCCGCTAATCTTTTTACTGTTTCCATAGTTTTGCCTTTCCCAGAATGTCATATTGTTGGAATCATAGAGTCTTTTTAGATTGGTTTATTTCACTGAGTAATATGCATTTAAGTTTCCTCCATGTCTTTTCATGGCTTGATAGCTAATTTCTTTTAAACATTGGACAATATTCCACTGTTGTTAGGTACCTTTATTTATCCACTTACCCGGATATCTTGGTTGCTTCCAAGTTTTGGCATGTATGAATTGAGCTGCTGTCAATATCTGTGTGCAGTTTTTGGACGTAAGTTTTCAAATCCTGTGGGTAAATAACCAATGGGTGCAATTGCTGGATCGTACGGTGAGAGTGTTTAATTTTTTGTAAGAAACTTCCAAACTGCCTTCCAAAGTGGCTATACCATTTTGCATCCCCACCAGCAATGAATAAGAATTCCTTATGCTCCTTATCCTCGCCAACATTTGGTGTTGTCCGTGTTTTGGATTTTTGCCATTCTAATAGGTGTGTAATGGTATCTCATTGTTTTAATTTGCAATTCCCTAATGATGTATGATGTTGAACAAATTAAATGTGGTTAATGCTCTTGTACTTAAATCTCTCCTGCTTAAACTTCATGGTGATGGCTTTGAATTGTAATTGTAGAAGGATTTGTGTCCTTCCAGCCAGTAGACTTTAATAAATAACATTCAGGAAATATTCCTGTAAGTCCTATGGTTCTGATATTTCCATCATGTCTCTAGAATCTTCTCATGGCAAATTGCTGTGTCAAACTGAATTATGAAAGTGAGTCAGGTTTCTTCTTTTTTTTTTTTTTTTAAAGATTTTATTTATTTATTTGAGACAGAGA